ATGCACATATTATATATATATATAATAATAATATATTATAATAGTATAATATATATATAATATATATATTATAGTATAATATATTATTATATATGTATATAATACACAATATATATGTAAGTTCTTGTTATATATTTTATTTTAAAAGAAATTATTTATATTTTGTGATATCTCTCTGTAACATTAGCGCAATCAATATGTCCACTCTCTCTCTCTCTCTTTCTCGCTCTGTAATTAGTTCGCTAAGTGGGACTCCTAAGTAAAGAAAATCTCAATAAAAAAAATCAATGCAATTTCGATCGAGCAGCGATATACGTAAGACGCAAACCGGTTGGTGTACTTTCTTCGGTTCGTACTCTACACTGTCTATGATCACCTTACTTTCGAGGTCAATGTCTAGGCCTGATGCTTACGCCCGAGATACAACTGGCTCCTTTTGCATCGGTGCAACTTTCCTTGATCGAAGCGCGACACGCAACCAACATTGGCGCACAGGTTATCTCGATAAAAAAACTGTGTGTATTACTTGCCTAGATATTAATCCTGCATGTGATAAAATACTTGAAGAAAAGAGAAGTTTTAATCCTCGCTTGAGAGTTTCTAGTAGTAGAAACAATTTTAATATCATTTGATGTGAGATATTAAATTTTTAATACGCTTCAACGTATTAAAACGCGTTACATTAAATTAATTTAAAAAAAAAAAACAAGTATAACGTAAATCTTAGATTATATTTTTTTTATTTTAGTCTCTCTAATATTTTTTATTGTAAGAAAAATAATGTCTTGTTTTTGCGTAAATTATAAAATAATTTAAACAAGAATATATATGTATATTAAAAATTTATATTACATAAGGGAAAAGAACGACAAATCGTAACGTGTCGTGTATCTCGTTGCATTTACATTTTTCGTCCGTTGCGATTTCTCTGCATCGCGGGCAGCACACAGACCGGCACCGTCCACCGTTCGGATCTGGTGGAAATGAAGACGCAGCGAAAGTAAAATCTATCCACATTCTCACGTATAGAGAGTGCATACATACTTACACTGATTTTGCAGCGATTAAACGGCCAGATAACTACGTCGCTCGGGAATTTCTCGCACACAACTCGGAAGCTCGCACGTGCGAGAAAAGACGAAAGTTACTTTTATTTGAATTAATCAGATTAAAAAGCTACGTATATTTTTTATTATGTAAATTACAATTTCCACATATTATGTATATACGCGAATTCGTATCCAACAACTTCTGAAGTCAAGTGCGGAGATAGTTCACCGGCCGGGAGTAGCGGCGTGGGTGGATATAAGTCATTTTTGGATAAAGTCATTTTATAATCCAACCGCTAATGTCGCTTGAACATATATATTGTTGTGATGCTTTCTACTGTCACATATGTCACATGACTAAGTGCGCGATTGACCGCATTTGAACACGTTTTGTGTAGTCTCATTAAACGTCGCTAAAATGACGGTTCGCTCAAACGTGATGCGTCTCGAACGGCATATTAAATAAGAAAATTGTTTATGCGAATTACTGAACGCGCAACCTCAATTGAGTCACCGCTCATGGAGTTTTTTTAGCGACCGAAACTGCCGATCATCACGACACAAAATACACCTTCGTGACACTTTACGAAGTTATTCCGCATTTATCTTGTAATTTGCGTTATTCGGAAATATATATATATATATATATATACATATATATTGCACAATATTATTTAACAGCGATTAAAATGTTTTCGCGAAAGTACAAGTTATGAGATTTCTCATTTAAATGAACGCCTCGCTCAAATCGCGATTCCGATTGCGTAAGTCGATGACCGAGATATATCATAAAAGTAAGACACACATCAGATCCAAACGATGAAAGGGTTTGCAAGTCGGTCGAGATGAAGCGTTATAAACTATATTCACATCTAACGAGTCAGTCACACACAAGTGACGGGTAACAGGTGATATTACGTACCGGAAAAGTCTTTACACTCGTCGATCGCAGTTAAATAACCTTGAAAACATTTCGATGTGAAAAGTTTGTTTTAAACTTGATTCGAATTTAGGCTCTGTGTGAATTCTCATCCAACAACACCCACATTTCTATCTCCTTGTTTCCTATATTTCCTCTTTTTTTTTTTTTTTTTGTTCCGATCACTGTGTAAGTCACTGTGTAAGTCTCTCTCGTGAATTTACCTGATCTCTTACCTAAAAAGTATCGTTGTTTCCGGTCTCTTCAATGTGATTCTGCAACGATTCTCGTTCGCGAGAACACACGATCTTCCTCGACAATCAAATCCTGTCAAAGTTCTTCTTCAATCGAGTTCATCTATAAACCGTCACCAGAGAGCCGGTCGTCGGTTTTTCGATAAAGAGACCTCCGCGCGTTTATTCGGTCATTATACCTCGGTGTCAATGATCCCGCGAACGCCGGACGTGCAACACCATCATCCGCAGACCGCAACCTCGGCACGACACACACACACAGATCCTCGATAGAACCCGCGAGGGCGGAATCGAAAGTAACGTGACCGGCGTTCACGTAAGTCGACACGACAATTAGCTTTCACACACGCAGTTAGTCGGCAAACAATTCCTCATATTTCCGGTAAATCGCTAATGAGAAAGAGAGAGAGAGAGAGAGAGAGAGAGCAATGCTTCTCTTCTCTCGGCTCTTCGCGATTGCGGGAGGGTGCAGGCGCCGGCGGCGCGGCCGCCATCATAGAAATCAATACAAACCCTTAAGGGGAGCTTGCACCGTATGTGCATATGGGGGATTATTATTTCGTTGAACAATTATTATTATTAACGCACCGAAACCGTGTGACGCGCGAAATCGCTCCCGATCTTCGGACGCTACGATGCAAGACACGCGAAAGAGAATATCCGTATGTTATAATATTCGATCCGTCTGTATTCACTGATGCGAGGGAAACGTAAAGATCAACGCTTTCGCGCGTCTCTCTCTCTCTCTCTCTCTCTGTCTCTCTCGCTCACTTTCTTTCTCTCTTTCTCTCTCGTGTCAAAACAGGAAATATATAAAAAAAATATATATATAAATATATTAATGAAATTGATATCAATTACAGTATCTTGTTACCAGTCGCGAGCTACGTGAATCGATGTATTAAGAAAGTCATCGATTGTGACATAAAGTCCCCTGCCCCAACTGTCGGTTCTGGTCAAGAAGCGTTCTTTTTGAATTTTTTTTACTCAACGCTCATGCGAATCCAATTAGACCTTGTCGTTTCCACCGTTCCGCGAAGTCTTTTCGCTTATTGAAATATCTAATAATCTACCGATCGACGTGTTACTCGTTTGGAAGAGAACAACAAAGACGATAATGCGTAGAGAAAATGGAGATACGGCGAGAGACAACTTTCTATGTGTACAAGTCTTGTATTTTTGACCGCCTCACCTAATATCCGCTTTACTGTTAGCCGGTCCACCCACACTGACTCCGGGAGAAAGAGCGTTCCGATGATAATAGTATAATCGCTCGTTTATGAGTTATCCTGTCAAGATCAAGAATTTAGTATACGTTTTCATGCGTCATCAGAATCGTTTCGAAATTTTAAATCGTCTCTAGATAAAAACAAGTGTATATATAAAGAATTTTTATTGAATAAAATTTCTATTTCACACACACACACACACACACAAAATTAGTTACTAATTTTCGTAAAGCGCGTTTGTGAAAAAATCTTATAATCGATTAATAATTGAGACGAAGTATTTAATCTCTTTTTCAACATACTTTCGTTTTCGCGAGACAGTTCCATTTAACGTTAACTAATCGTTGCGTTGCGACGATTTATGTGTCCCGAATTACTTTTCTCAATTGTTTATTTCTTCTCATTCATCGGCGTGAAAAAAAAAAAAAAAAAACTGATTTAAACGAGCCGACCGGTCGATTTCAACATGCGAGACTCACTACTCTCGTAACGGGAAAGTTCGCGGGATCGCCCGCGTGTCTAAAGAAATATCCGCTTGAGCGTTGTGTGGAAGCGACTGGAAACTGATGAAAAAATATGTATAAAGAAGGGGTCAAGAGCGTGTAGCAGCTAGTATCCTCTTTCGTGGACCTACAACAGGCGAGACGAGAAAATATATTATCGTCGAAGAAATTATTTTTATCAACAATTACTCTCGTACGTTTCACGCAAAAAATCTCATCACGATTTCGAAAACGATATTGTTCTTGTGTGCGTGAACATTAATATCTCTGAGATAAAAGAAAATATCGCAAGATTTCTTCTATTTACTTTGGTGCTTTTTATTCCCGTATTTTTAAAATAAAATACGCGATACGCAACTTTAAAGACAATATATATATGAGCGCTCTCTACTCCCTTGACGAGGCGAGAGATAAAACGCATACTTGCGGGGAGGTATTTCTCATCGAGGCCGCGGCGATCTAGGTCTCGGGATTTAGACGCGTGACATCCAAATGAACAAGTACCGTTGCCTGGAGGACACAAAACGACGACGGGCAAAAGGAAAGGAAAGGACAACGCGTGTAAAACACCGTAAATGCCGCGCGCGCGCGCGCGCTCCGGGGGCCGCTATCTCGCCGCTTCCTCCTCGGTCATTTGGCGGAGAAGACCAAGCAGCATTCAGTCATCGGAACCAGCTATCCGTAGAGACAGACTAGTCCACCTATCCTCTACATTGACCCACTCTCACTCTCACCTTTCTCCTTTCCCTCCGTCTCTCCTCTCAGATTTTCTCCTCGCGAGAAACGGCACTGTCTTCTCGAGTATCGCGTCGAAACGATAAGAACGCGCGCGCATTTACGTGTATATATATATATACATATATATATATATATGTATATATAATTATATATCTTCTTCGCACGATTTGTTTTTATTTCCTTTGACACCAATTGTATCCTACGTAAATTCACGCGAAAATAATAGAAAATACTACATGGCGACGATGTATCCTGATTGTATTCGAACAGAGCCAGGTATTACACGTTCTCATCGGAGAACGTTGTCAATATTTCTTTTATCGCAAATCTAACACTCAATTATGTTAAATTTTAGGTTTGCTTTAGAAATTTATTTAGCGGAAGAGCCTAAGTAAAACACCGGGAACAGGAATGTTTAATTGCAATTAAGCACTTAATTTGCGTTTTGTTTGAGAATATCTTGAGTGTGAGAACTTTTTTTTACACATGCAAAAATTGTTACCAAAGTCCACTTTGTTGCCGGATGATTGCAAAAGAGTATGAAACGTTTTACGAACGCGCGCGTTTTGCGAACACGGGACGGTATAAGTAATGACGATAATTAACTTCGGTCGAGGTTCGACAAGCGAAATAAATGGAAGAATGTGCTAATGCAACGAAGAACTGCACAACCGTGCGGACTGTCGAATAAATCTCGCAAACATTCAACGTCGTGAAATAAAATGACACATGCTGTAAAACTGGTTGCGTTTCGCATTGTGTGTGAAAACACACAAACGTCTTGCGTATTATATCCGCGGGATAATAAATCGCGCGTTTTGTGCGCTATTTGCGCGGGAAGTAATCGTCTTCAAATATACACGAGAACGAACGGACGACAATATTTGCAATTGAACTAGATCGTGTGTAAACGTTAAGCTGATTGATTAATTGCTCTGCGTCTCGTTTGCAAAACGCGATGGTGCAAAAGATGACGAGAGAACCGTCGACGTATGGCCCCGTCAGTCGACCGTGTCCAGTTAAGATGAAGAACACACTTCTGCCAGCTTTGCTTCACCTATGTTGGACTTCTCTCCCGGAAGTATGCTCTTCGAGGTAAATGACTTCGTGCTCCTTTAAACAGTCATTTTCGCCCCATTACGCGTCAAAACGACATATCGCGCCGTTTCGTCGCGGCGCTTGTTGCCTATTTATCGCTTTCGAATATTCGGTGAGAAAAAATAACGCACGGTAATTCCGGTGGATGAAAGAAGAAGAAATGGATAAAAATATAAGCGAGTTCAAAGTGCGATTTATCTTCACGTATTTGTGTCATTTTTTCATACACACGCACATGAGAAAACACACAAAAGTTAAGCGTTACAGAACTATACGATAAAAAATAAACGCATTTAAAGTTGACTTCTGTAAATTTAAATTCCCACAAAATCGAACAAAGTAACAAAAAGGGTGAGCCACACAAAATTATGTTAATTAATTAATAAACGTCGATTATTTTCCGTTTACTTATCAAAAATTCTCAAAAACACGTAACGCGAAACTTTAAATAAAGAAAGAAATAAGTTATACATATGTTTGATTATTCATAATTAACACAATTGACAGAAAAAACATTTCACGCGTCTTTCAGTTTGTTCAGCGATGATGTCAACAATTGCACTATGACATCAAGACTAATTCTACCGGATCATTACGTTAAAGGTAATACGTGATTACAAATTAATTAAAAAAACTAACTACAAGTTTGTTTACCTGTTTAATACGTAATAGACAATTGCTGTAGAAATTAGACCGCCGTCGGAAAAAGGTGCACCTGTAGTAGTGAATTTCAACATTTTAGTAGTCGATATTAATTCTATCAACGTTGAGGACATGGATTTTCGGTAAGCTGAAGCAATTTGCAAAATTTTATATACACGTGTGTTTATAAATTTACAAAAAGAATCTTATAAAACTTTTAATACGTTCTCTCGCGCTAAAATCAGTCACACAAAAATTTTTAAATATAAACTTAAAAAAATTTAAATATTGATTGAAAAATGTATAATGACCAAAAAAATATTTATATATTTATGTTTATATTTAAATTAGTGTAGACATGTTTGTCAGTCAGAGTTGGATAGAATCCCGTCTTGATACGCCTCAAGATATATTCGAAGAAGACGACGATTACGTCATACTTCCTCCAGAATTCTTCGACAATCTTTGGCAACCCGATCCGTATTTTTTGAACTCAAAAGTTTCCGGTAAGTGTGACAAAGAATACGTAAGAAGAAAAAACAATCACACACAAGATTCGATAAATTTCTTTCAGAGATCGCGACCTTAAGCCATAAATTTTCATTGGTTACATTGTACCGGAACAAAACCGTTAAATATTCCGCGCGAATCAACGCTATCGTTGCCTGTCAAATGGAATTTCAGTTGTATCCGATGGATATTCAAATTTGTCCGATTTATATAGAAAGCTGTAAGTAAGCGCAAGATGCACGTCGAACGCGAACGTCACGAGTTTCACAAGTTTCGTTTTTTTTTTTTTTTTCGTTGCACAGTTTCCTACAACAGAAAAAAGTTGCGTTTACAGTGGGTCGCGGGTGGTGTCACGGTGAATCCCGAATTAAAACTGCTGCAATACGACATCGGAAAACCCGCGGTACTCGAAGAAACCATAGATTACATGATTGAAAAAAATGGTAATGTTTAATTAAAGCAAAAGTTTTTATCTGCTTTTCAATTTCTTTTTTTTTTTTTTACATTTAATGAAACTTATTCCAAAAAAAAAAATAAAAAATCCAGTGGTCATTGAATCACGAATGAATTGCGTTAGATAAAATGTGACAAAAATTTGCAAAACAAATTCTTGCAGGAAACTTTTCGCGACTAGTGGTCTTCTTTCGTTTCGAAAGGCAGATCGGTCATCACTTGATACAGACGTTCGCGCCGTCAACTCTGGTCGTGATGCTCTCCTGGTTCAGCTTCTGGCTGGGCTTGGACGCGATTCCTGGTCGAGTGGCTCTTCTGGTCACAAGTATGCTTACACTGGTGACTATGTTCACCGGTCTGAAGAGCGATATTCCACCCGTAGCTTACATCAAGGTAAACTTACGAGTACATGTTAGAACACACGAAGTTCTAGTGTATGCTGATCAACATACTTTCTGCTATTACGCAAAAGATACACACCTTACATGTGTAACACTTACTTCCTTGTTCGTAATGTGACAATTAACACGTTTTAGGCATTAGATGTCTGGATGGCCGGTTGTATGATGTTTGTATTCGCAGCTTTGGGAGAATTTGTTGTGGTCAAGGTGCTCGATTTACGTCACGTAGAGAAAGACTCGCAGAATCCTCGCTCGGTCTCGGTTTGTTCTCGTTCAACGGCGATAATGATTTAATCAAATCTTATTGTCTGCTTAATTAAACTCATATTTTGAGAATAGCACATCTCGAAAAATTGTGTAAAACAAAAAGTGATTTCAATGTGAAATCGTGAAACTTATCGAACGCAATTGTTTTCAGCGAATAACGGCGACGGAAAAAACACAAAACTTGTGGAACGATGAGTTCACTTACGCAACCAAACCGAAGAAGAAGCGAACTAGTCGATATTTGTTACCGATCACGTGGTTGGATCCTAAGTGCCAGATAATGCAACCGCGCAAAACACGCTCTCAGAAAATAGATTGCTACAGCAGAGTTGTGTTTCCCATACTGTTCTTGCTTTTCGTCGTTTTATATTGGCCGCTAGTATTGCTCAAAAAAGCACCGTGAATCGATTCTGAGTATTAGTCATTTTGCGCGTATATTTCGTCATATATTTATCAAAATATGTGACTTATCATTGTTTAAAAAATTATCGGAATATCTCACGACTCGCAAGTTAAACAGAAAATTATAAATTTTCAACATAGTACAATTTTTAACACGCGAGTAGTCAGAATATATATAAATTTTCTTTCAACATTTGTTGATGCATTTCTATACATGATTTTTTTTACACATATTATCGAAAAGTTTTCAATCTACAAAATTGAAATAAAACCTAAGTATCTTCTATTTCTCTCATGGAAAAGTCAGAAATGTCTATTGCATCCTCGGATTGCAGTTCGGATGCATTCTTCGATTTAAATGCTCCTATGTTTAATATATAATTCATCGTGTATTGGTTAAAATCACATCTGTAATAATATATCTCCGATTATTTTCATGTGCTTGATATGATAAAAAAAAAAAAATTGAGAAAATGTGACAGAACTTACATTCTACTCAAATCATCGTATTTCTTCTGCATATTCTTATGCAGCATCAATAACATCGGCATCTGGAGTGCGGTGTTCACTCGCGATCCGTATTTTGTCAGAATTATTTCTATCCACAGAAGATAAAAATGTATGTGTCTGGTCGATTCCAGTTCGGACGCGATAAATTTCAGTAACTTCTCAATGTAGATATCCGATATACTTGTAACCGTTAATTCAACTGCAATAATGTATTTGTTATGCATCACATCATTAAAATGAGATTATTAATATATTTAACTAGAAAAATATGTAAAACTTACTCTCTGTGTACGGAATACCCTCTATCACTTGTTGGGTTACTAACTTTTCGTTTAATTTGAGCGCCATCATTAGCGCTAAAAGAATAATAATGTTAAATAAAAATAAACGTACATACATGTATTATCATTGATTTTGTTAAGTATTAATTATTAATTCTAGTCTGAAGATTTATTATGTTCATACCCGCTGCATAATCTTGCTTGCGAAGTGTTTCTTTTACAGTGCCCGCGGTGACACCAAGCTCCAACTGGAAAGGATCGAACATCAATCCGATGTCCAAGGAATATATCAACAAACCTTCCGTTGTCACCGCACCCCACGCTTGTCCTATATGTTACAAGATATTCTAATTAACTAATGCTAATTTACAAACGTATTTTATTTACACGAGTATATTAAAAAATATTTTTACCTGTAGGTGAGAATTGTAAAGAATACACTCTCACTTCCGGTCTGATTCTCCTGCTTGCCATATCACCGCTTTTAACACCCGGCAACCGTAACGATATGTTGGTCCCGCCTTCACGATGCTCAATTAAAGCTTTGTTCCCAAATTCGGTCATGTATCTTCTGTTTATCACATCCTATTCGCGATTTAATGATCCAATAAATAGTTGAGCTTGATGAAGACAAATGTGATTTTATTATTATACTCACGTCCACACCGTCCAGTGATCTGTTCTGAGTGATCTCGTATTTCTTCAGCAATACAGATTCCTGAACATTATAAATACACACGTTTTTCGAATGACCACCGGCCAATATGCACGTACCATCAGCCGAGTAACACAAGGTGGTAAACGCTCTGAAGAAAATAAAATGCAATAACATCATTGAAGCTTACATTCGATATGTAAAATATTCATTGAATTGTTCCGAATTATACTCACTTGCCCTGCAAATTCTTTTTCGCTGTAATGAGATCCGTTCTGGATCTACCAGCGCCTAAATCATTTCTACCTTCGATAAAACCTATTTGTCTAGCTGTTTTACATTCGAAGAACGTAATCTGTCCATCCAACGTAGCGACAGCAACTTCTTCTCCATTCGGTTTGTAAGTTACGCACAACGCGTCAGCGGCCAATTGTATAGTTTCGTGCGCAGAGCCGTGCTCAATGGCATTCCATATTTTCAATGTTTTGTCCCAGGATACGGACGCCAATTCTGTACTGGCAAGATTTGGATTGAACGCCAAACTTGAAATGGGTCCCTCGTGACCACTCAATATCTGAAATGGGATAGGCAATATTGCACACGTTTTGTCAAGTATAAAACTATACAAAATATAAATTGTATAAAACTCAAATAGTAAAATTTTCTTAAGAGCTACAAGTACCTCTAAAAGAGATCCGAGTTTCATGCTCCACAAATATATCTCGAAGAAATCTTGACCACCTGCCGCGAGAAACTCGTCGCTCGCGTCGAGCGCTAAGCAAGAAAATTGAACCGGACGTGGCGACGTGAGAGTTCGAAAATTTCTGTATCTCGTCAGATCGAACGCTCGGACTGTACCGTCTAGCGAGGCAGCGGCGACGAATTTGCGATTATGACTGAACAGAACGTCGGATATTGCCGAGGTGTGATCGTCAAATGTGACCGTGCAGAATCCACTTAGGGTGTTCCACAGCTTGACCTTTCCGTCGTCGCCGCCGGTTATGATGTACTGACCGTCGGGACTGTACGCCATACTGTTCATGTTGCTTCTGTGGCCTTGCTGTTTCATGACGTACGTCTCGCTCTGCCATTCCCAAACCAGCAACTGACCCGCGTGAGAACATCCCAGAGCTATCCAATCGCCAGTTGAATTCATCGCGATCGTCGAAATACGTTGTCGTGAGATACTGTAAGACAAAATTACATTGCGATTGCAAATAGTTCTGTAAACACTCTCTAATAAAATATACAATAACAATTAAAAAATAATAAAATACAGTAATGCGATAATACTCAAGTATATAATACATTTTGTTTTTCAATTAACATCTTATTTAATAAATACCTTAATGAATGAATCAAATTGGCGTGGGGCATTTCGTACAAATAAAATGAACCATTATTAAATCCAACAACTAATATGTGAGTATCTTGGTGATAAGCGGCTGCAGTGAGTTTCGCGTCCTTCATTTGCTTGTGTACTTCGTCCGCCAAGTAATGGGTAGCTAATTTCTTGTAAGCCAGCATTTTGACTTCTGTCTTGATTTCTTCTTTTGCGGTCTCGTCTTTTTCATCGTCTTGCAAATCGTCTAATAAAATATATGTGCTTTTGTAAACGAGATATTTGTGCATTTTCTTGTATACAATTATTTGTAAACACATGAAATAGAATGAGATATAAAAAAAACTTTTATTACTTAATTCTAATAAATCCTCTGTACGAGCTTTTTGCTTCTCTGTTCTTTCTACAGCTTTTTCTACGTCAATATCGTCCTCGCTGTCACTGTCTTTAGCTTTTTTCGCAGGCGGTTTCCACTCAACCCAATCGTCAGGTTCAATTGTGCACTCCCAGATTAAGAGTCGACCGTTTCTGTGAGAAAAATCCAAAAATGCATGTTTAAATTGTACACAGAACATATAACACCATACTTCGAAATCAACAAACAATTTAGTGTTTTTTTTTTTAATTTTTATTTTACTTACTTGCTGATAGTATACAAGTTATAATTGTTCTTTTCAAAAAAGCATTCCACAATTACATCGGAATGACCGCCCAATGTAATCCACCTGAAATTTGCCCATCTCCGTAAACTGTATATCCTTACAATGGTATCTTTTGAACCGACAGCTAACAGGTTTGAATCAAACGACCAAGTGACACATGTTGTTTCAGCAGTAGCTCCGTGAAACGCATGTTCCATAACAAAAGGATTATAATCACCTGTTTGCAAGCCAGGTGCGTTGAAAATAAAAACTAAAACACAAAAAAATAAGTGTTAACTTTTTGATTTATAAACATACAAGAGTTTATATGAGATAAAAACACTTACCACCACCTCCCTTACAAACAACAAAGTATTTTCCATTTGGGGAAAATTTTACATGCTTGGGACGTCCTTTGAATCTATATTTATGTAAGATAACTTTGCTTATCAAACTGATTACATGAGTTTCACCATCTGCAATTGTTAGAAAATTATTATTGAAATTATTTGTTTGTTAAAAGAATTTCTCTTTGTAAATATTTTGCCACATAAGCATTTTTAGAAATATACACAGAGAAAAAGTCGTACCTGTATTGATGGCAATTAAAATGTTGCCTTTTGGCGATCTATCTATAGTAATGTAATTAAATCTGCTCTCCACAGGCAACGTTATGGACTTATGGCTAGAAAATAAAAACAATTGTTGTACAAATAAAATACTAAAGCGCAATTTTTTTATCGTAAAAATTTATCTATTAATAAATTTACTTTTTTAAATCAAAAATTGTAATTCTGTTGCCCACAGGACTAATAATCGAGGATCCATCAGGGGTGAAGACCAAGTCTCCTTTGCGGTAAACTGTGCCAAATAAATTACTGAACTGAAATAAAAAACGTTAATTAGCTAATCAATGTTTAATATTATAAATGTTGTGAATAATTCATCACACCCAAGATTTAGTAATTGTAAATAAATTGGAATACATATTACAGGTTAGAATTGTATATAATGCCTTCCGCCAACTTGATGCAAGGCAAGAAACGAATGTGTCGTGTACATTTAAAAAAAAAAAAAAACAAGTACTTTACCTTGTACGAGAACTTCATGTTTCTCTCATTAACGTCAAACGAATATTTTTTTTTTCGAAGACATACAACACGTGAAACCACATGTGTGTTTGAATTATTTAGCTTCTAGAATTGACGTAACGAGGGCACTACCAGTTCGCGATAGTACGAGTGCACTTTTCTACACTCGTGATGCGATCACATGTTGTACCTTTAGTCTGAGAAAACGAGAGAATGGAAAAAAGCAGAGCGAAAGATCAACCAATCGCAAGTAAATTAGCGATTCCGTTTTTTGATTTTTAACAATCCGGAGAATTCGCGCGAGACGTGTGATGTTGAGATGTAGATGGGACCTGCGTCTCACTCAGACGCAGAGTTTATCTGAAGACAAACTTAGAGGACAATCTCATGTATAAGATCTGTTTACGTAGAGACGCGCGGACTCACGCGCTTTAGAACGTTAGTCCGTCTTTGTTCTACATTTAAAGCACAAATAAAGAAAAAAACTGACGTTTAAAGCGAACGCATCCAATATCACAAGCGCAAGGAGCCTTTTAATTAGGTCGAGGACATGTGTGCGAGCGCTGAATGTTGATAACAAGAGTGATCAATTATGTGTCTATACGCAATAATAAATCACGTCTCGCAAAGCAAACAGGGTTCAAAAGATAAATTTTGTTTTCTTAATTTATTATCTAAGTATATAAACCTGTCGATGATATATATTTATTTAAATGTCTTTCCCACCGCGGCGCAGTCAGCTGACTACATTTAGTAGTTCGAAAATCGGGGATCGTATTCGATCGCCGATAGCAAGGAGTACAAATGTTTGACAAAATCTCGTTCGAATCCGCGCGTTATAATTTTATTTGCGAACGAACACGCCGCGGTTCGCAAAAATTTCCGCTTCGTGTTTATTGACAACGGAAACGCGGAACGGAAAATTGCGAACGGCAGGTCACGCGCTCACGACGGCAACATGCGCGTGATCGGATGCGCGTCCACGCGAACCAATCCGAGATCCCGACGTCACCCGGTGGAGTTGGGACGCGGCGTACGATTGGTTCGCTTGCGCTATATCAGCCAATCGCGACGCGGATCGACAACGAAACGGCGCCAGCGGGCACCTTCCTCTCGCGTTGATCGCTCGTCATTCATCACATGACCCGCGCCACTGTACTCCGGTAGGCCATATTTGACAGTGGCCCACTAGTTTAGCGACGTGAGTGACGTGAAGATCGTTCCTACCGCTCGACGATCCGTTGCGACGATCGGCAACCTGTAAATACACCCGCGATCGACCCGACCGAGACACGTCAAATCGAGCCAGAATGGCACAAGACTCAGGGGCTTCGGAAGCTGCGCCGGTGTATTCGCCGTTCTTCGGCGTAATGGGCGTCGCCTCTGCCATTATATTTTCTGGTGAGTTTCGACTGTTTTCTCACCGTCGTCGTCGTCGCCATCGCCACCTCGTGATCTCGCTCGCGCGATGTCAGGCAACGAGTCGAGGTCCGCGAGAAGATGTCATACAATCTCTGTGTCCGTGTCCGACGACAACGACGGCGACGACCACGTCGTCGTCGTCGTCGCCGTCGCTCATGTCGACCGTAGTTGTCGCGGGCACAGAAATTACAAAATATATATCTCGTCTCTCTCTCTCTCTCTCTCTCTCTCGCCATTTTCTCAAACGGCGTAAGGATGGACGAAAATTTGTGTGTGTGTGCTGCTAACTGCGCGGCGCGCGCGGATTATCGATCCCCGGAGAGAGGAGAACGCGGGGGAAACGCGTTTTCTCTTTACGGACGTTCGCGAAACGAGGGGGCCCCTCTCGCGCGACGTCATGTGCTGCGAGACGCGTGACGAGCGGTCGGAAGCGAGAACACGTCGTCGCGATGATGGATTTCGGAGAACGTGCGATGGCGAAACTACGTGGAATTTCGGATGAATTATCTTATCGGTCGCGCCGAGCCGCCAGTCGATTTTCCTTCTCGTTCCACTTTTCGATATCGATCGCTTTTGTTTCGTTTCTCGCGTACGGATAATCGCCCGTTTCCTCTCTCTCTTTCTCTCTCTCTCTCTCTCTCTCTCTCTCTCTCTCTCTCTCTCTCTCTCTTCCGACGAATGCTCGATCTCGCTCGTCAAGCGCAAAATTTCGTAACTCGGAAAACGCGATCCGAGCGTGTGTGTCCCGTCGCACACGCGCTCGGAAAAGCGCATTTATGATCGCATTTAGGAATCGCGGTCGGACCGGGCGCAAGCTTATTTCGTAATTGCGCGCTGACCTCGGCCGAGCGTGCGACGGCGACGGAATTTTACGAGCCTTGGAAAAGCAGCAGACGGAAAAAGGAGACGGACAAATGAAAACGGGGACGGGGATTATCGAGAGGAGCAGCGGGCGTGCGCCGCCTCGTGCGTGTCACGAGACGCGTTTCCTCCGCACGGCGCGCGAGAGACGAAACCACCAATCTGTTCTCTTTATCTGTACCGTTTGCACTTTTCTTTTATGTCTCTTTGACTTGACAAAGGTGCAATTTCTTTATTTTCCACGAAACAGAGACGCGCGACGATTATATTAATCGAACGCACACTTTTTTCTTTGTTCTCACGCGAATAAAAACACGACGATTTCATCGCGAAGAGATGCAAGAAAGTGAAACAGAATCGGTTTTTTATCTCGCGACAACACGAATACAACACTTAGGTCTCTCGTATCGATCTGTAATTAATGATTTTCTCCGAATTCGCGGTAAATGAATGACCCCTGGGAGCTGTGCCGCGCGCGAGCGACGCTTAGCATCGGGCAAGATCAATACGCGAATACCTTTTCCCTTACGCGTCTTCTTTTTCTCAATAAAAAACGTTATAGACACACATACTTTGCGCGAGATACCAGCCGAAGAAAATTTTTCCCCCTCGTTCCCGATTGTTTCCCGATACGTATCGGATTCGAGATATTGATTACGCGGAATCGATCGCAGTTCTCTCTCAAGAATCACTGCGATTGATTTCCAGAAGTTCTGTAAGTCACCCTCGTGATTCCGTTAACAGCAAAAATATACAAATCGATGATTCCGCGATTACGCTCGGGGGGGGGAGGGGGGAGAGATTTCGCGTATGGTTACCGGGCGAAATGCGAGTCGACGAGTTGCGAAAAAAGATTTGAAATTAATAAAAAGCGACACGACCGACTCGGCGTATGTAATTTTGTTTATTTTGACTTGCAAACGTATCGTAAAAACCCGAGCATAAACCAGCAAAATTGACACTGGCGAGCGAGCGTTGTTCGAACGTTTATTTATACATGATAAGATACATATGGCCACAACGATAAGTTACATCCATGTTCGTTAATAATAACGTGCGAATAATAATTTAACTGTGGTCGTGGTGGTGGTAGTATATCGTTATGTATCGCACAATTTAAAAACTTCGACGTTTAAACAAAATGATAATACAGTATTATTTTTTTAAAAAGTTACTACGGAGAAAAAAAACGGCGATCGTATCTCTCGCAGCCACGCCCCCCTACTCACGGGATGGGACTTGTGTGATTGTCATGTGACTGCCAACGTGAGAATCATGTGACTGCAATTTCCAGGCTGGGTATCCGCGTATATATAAGAGAATTATATACCTGGCGCTGCTGCACTGTCGAGATTTTTCGTTCGATCGATCGCCGCGGAAATTTTTCTCGATCGCAATATCATCGGGATTTTCTCGATCTCAATCACGCAAACGCTCGCGAAGCGTATTGATAGAAAAAAAAAATAGAATCTGGAATATGAATTATTTTTGTCACACTTTTCCGTTCCGGAACTGTCACACTTCATTTTTCCTTTTTTTTTATTTAGAAACATGGATAATCTTCCACGCTTGTGGCTAAAAAAACAGCTAAGAAATATGTTTGAAAAGTATAAGCGATGCGATAACAACACGATTATATAGTTTCTGATACGATCTGCATTTTTGGCAATTTTTATGGCAAAAAGTCGGAACGAGCAGATTTCGATATTATATGCATGTTTTGCGCATTACAAATTCTCAAAACGTTTATCTTAATCTAGTTTTATTAAATCGCTTATAAATATTTTTAAAATCGACAAAAATTTAAATAATTTTTATATACTTAATATTCTTAATATACTTTTAATCTTATTTTCATCAGATTCACGAGTATGCCGTCTTTCTATTTGTTTTACAATACAATGCACGATGTATCAGAATAAATACATATTGAATCTCGCACAGAGCAAGATTATAAATTTGTTCGTTTCTCGTTACACGATTATGTAATGAAGTAATTATAATTTTTATTTCGCAGCTCTGGGAGCAGCATATGGCACAGCGAAGGCCGGTACGGGTATCGCAGCGATGTCTGTTATGAGGCCAGAATTAATCATGAAATCCATTATTCCCGTTGTCATGGCGGGTATCATTGCCATTTACGGTCTAGTAGTGGCGGTCCTTATTGCCGGAAGTCTCGGCAGAGTTCCCGCATACGACCTGTATTTGTACGTACATTCTGAATAAACACGTCACGCATTGTTAATATAAACAGTCAGACCGCAACAAAAAAAGCAACTTTTATTCTTTCTGTTTAGGGGGTTCAACCATTTGGGTGCTGGTTTAGCTGTAGGTTTCTCCGGTCTAGCCGCCGGATTTGCCATTGGCATCGTCGGTGATGCCGGTGTAAGAGGAACCGCTCAGCAACCCCGACTCTTCGTCGGTATGATCCTGATTCTCATCTTCGCCGAAGTATTAGGTCTCTACGGTCTGATCGTCGCCATTTATCTGTACACCAAACAGTAAACGGTCAGTAGCGGCATTCTACTACCTGCCACGGCTCCATGCAAGACATGTCGCCTGCAAAAAAAAAAAAAAAAAACCAACAGCGCTCCCCGACTACTATTATGCTACAAGAAAGAAAAAACTTGACATTTTACTTAATCACGTTACTCCATGCATACCTATTCTACTTACCATCTCGGCTCATCTCTGCGCGGGTATTCAGCCCCCTTCCTCCTGTAATATCGTACTCGAAATCGTTCTATTTAGGCGTTCGAGCATTTAACCACACATTTACACACACGTCACTTTCATCAGCGCATAATTAATACCGAAGTGGTGCTGCGATCGAGAAATACATTTAAACAAAAACAAAAAAAACCAGCCCGGTTCTTTCTTTTTTTCTTGATTTCACGAGATCGAGATACGCGCGGTCGTGCGTCTCGAACGCTGTTGTGTGTAACGAACAAAAGCGAGTGTATAGCGAATTGAGAAAAAAAAAAGCGAAAGACAACGGCCGACAGGGAAATACATATACATAATGTAGAAAAAGAACAAGATCTCCTATATTAATCCCATTGTCGAACATTTCTCTTTCACTGTATAGTAATCATTTGTAGCTTAATATGATAATATCGAATTACCGTTAAAGTAATCGGCTCTACTGAGTGTATAAAGGAAAAACCATGTTATTGATAAAAGAATATTTAGCACAATTATATATATACATAAATATATATATATAAATAAATAAATAAATAAATAACATCCGCGCGAAATGGCAGGTACGCGATGAGGCATCCCATGGAAAACAAAACAAAAAAAAAACGAAATTATATCATTGGAATAGAAACATCCGAGTGCGAAGGCACTTGGATACTTCAAGTAGACACGCGCGATGATACGCGTAATAAAAAAAAAAAAACAGCGTATTATAACAGCGAGAGAGAGAGAGAGAGAGGGAGAGAATGTGAGAGTGAGATTATATCGGCTTAGATATCTCGCAGGAACAGAGATTGTGCAATTGTGAGAATAAATAGACGAAGATTGTTTATGGTGGGTGTGAAATTTTAGTTAAAAAAAGAAAAGATTTAAAAAACAAATTAAGTATGAGTGCGAGTAGTTTAATCAACAGATACACACGATAGCATTAAGTCAATTGAGAGAGGCTGCTGGACGCGGCGGGATTTCACATTTTCACGGTTATTCATAGACAACGTGGCGCGATAGACTAGGGAAAGAAAAAGATCTACGTCTAATTCGAACCTTGTCGGAAGAGAGTCGCAAAGGCCAGCGACCGAGAGACCACGGTTCCGATTAGTCGTAGGACTTGATTATTCGGTGTTCTCCGTGTCTTTTTCCGTCGCCGAGAGAAAAAAAACACGTCGTATGTCAATGGAGTAACGAGTATAATGTGAAGCTTGTGTAAAATCGAACAGAATCATCGTACGTATCAATAGATGAAAAAAAACACACACAAACATGCAGAGAGACCGTATATTATGGGAAAAAAAAATCCATGATCTAATTACAGAAAAGAGAAGAGTTGTGTATGCGATATTAAACGGCATGTAAACGGAGAATAATAATTTGTACATTCCATATTAAGTTTGTTCAGTAATCAGGCGAGCGGGCGTTTGGCGACGAGTAACAAAAATTTGTTTTCTCGGTAAGCCCGCAATGCTGTGTTTTCTCGCATTCATTTTTGCGATTCGAAATTCAAAACCGAATTCGTCGCTCGTCATCGTCGCACCGTCGGGGATGGATTGTCGATTGGGAGCTGACAATCCTCACCCCCCTTCGTGCGCCCTTCAATCGGCCACACCATTCCTTCCCCATTCAATCGTCACACTCAAGTACAAACGCGAAAGTAAAACG